TGAAGGATTTATTACCAGCTAATTATTTCGCAGCGCTCGGTTCCCCCTCCCCTCCCCTCTCCTTCTCCCCTCCTTCTCCCCTGCCCCCTGCGGGGCCTATCATCGCGACACGCTCGTTCCGCCGCATTGTCGATGCATGTGACAAGAGCCTGTCGCTCTCACCGCATCAGCGGTGTCACAAAGTCTGCAGAGTTAACCCACCTCTCCCTCGCTCTCTCTCTTCTTCTCCCTGCTCCCTCCCTTCGGACAAAGCATTACAAAATTTTATCTTATCAGGACTACTCTGAAGAGAAGTTAATATACTTACCCGAACGTTTTCATTAAAATATCGGAAAGTTAAAGAAATGAATCTGTATAACTTGCATCCTCGTAGTTTTCATTACGATATTCAGTCTCGCTGAGCTCACGAGAGCGTGAGCGCGAAAGCGTGGATCCAGACGCATTTTCTCTCCACATTTTCTGCCCCTCGCCCTACTCCACGCTCTCACGTGACGTGGCTACACTGAATATAGCTCGAGTAGGAATCAAGACCAAGACAAGTCTTAATTTACCCAGGGGGTCGCAACGCAGTGCTAAGGGCGCGGCCTATGCGCGAGCCCCGGAAGTCGCCACCCGGACGGCGCGAACCGGCCGTTCAAACCACCGCTCAGTGCTCCTCACTGCAGCTTAGTTATGTTTAAAATGCTTTGCCATTCAAGAATCGTTAAGGAAAGTTTTCAATACGTTGCCGCAGGTCACAAGGAGCTGGAATATAACAAGACCTCACCTATTTCGCGTCTTTTATCTTGTTAATGAACAGAACTATTTGCGAGCGCTGAGGAGACCCCGTCGCACTGGTCCATTACTTTCAGTATTTCAGACAAAATAATACCCGACCCACATCAGACCTTCGATAAAAAGGTAAGAGACACATTGGCAAAGTGCTTTATAGGTATTTGTTGTCGAACCGGCACCTCCTAAACTAAAAATAACGATTATAAAGCCGAGCCTACCGATCGGCCCCTAACCCCAGCTCATGTTTATAAACATTTTATAAATGTTTACACTTTTACGTGCTCCCGGGGACGCAGCCTATCCCGAGGCAAATTTCATAAACTTTCAGATTTTCTTAGAGTCATTTGTGTACTTACTGCGGTTTATCTCAAACTTTCTACAACACTCAGCACTGTAGCAGTTAGCCCTCTCCCGGCCGAAGCCTATAAAAGCTTTAAACTTGTAATTTACCTTTCTTTGTGACCAAACAGCAGTCAGACTGTAACAGGGCTATATATTTACAGTAGAAAACAACTAAGCCCATCAAGATTAATGCTGATTTCACTGGAAATTGTATATTTTTTTGTCGGTGAATCCTCTGCGACGTCTGCGAGTTTAGGTGCAACATAACCTCCTAACCTCTCCCAGCGCACCGACTACTTCTCGAAGAATACTTGTTTATATATTCCTCTGCATTGAAACAGTACGTTGAAAAGGTGTGTCTGAAGTAGAATTTAGATCCAGTACGCACCCCTTATGTCATTTCGTCGGCAACAAAAGAAAACAACAAGTTTGAAGCGTTTTTAGGCTTCGGCCGGGAGTGGGCTATCTGCTTCAGTGCTGAGTGTTGTAGAAAGTTTGAGATAAACCGCAGTAAGTACACAAATGACACTAAGAAAATCTGAAAGTTTATGAAATTTGCCTCGGGATAGGCTGCGTCCCCGGGAGTACGTAAAAGTGTAAACATTTATAAAATGTTTATAAACATGAGCTGGGGTTAGGGGCCGATCGGTAGGCTTGGCTTTATAATCGTTATTTTTAGTTTGGGAGGTGCTGGTTCGACAACAAATACCTATAAAGCACTTCGCCAATGTGTCTCTTACCTTTTTATCGAAGGTCTGATGTGGGTCGGGCATTATTTTGTCTGAAATACTGAAAGTATTGGACCAGTGCGACAGGGTCTCCTCAGCGCTCGCAAATAGTTTTGATCATTAACAAGATAAAAGACGCGAAATAGGTGAGATCTTGTTATATTCCAGCTCCTTGTGACCTGCGGCAACGTATTGAAAACTTTCCTTAACGATTCTTGTATGGCAAAGTATTTTAAACATAGCTTATCTGCAGTGAGGAGCACTGAGCGGTGGTTTGAACGGCTGGTTCGCGCCGTCCGGGCGGCGACTTCCGGGGCTCGCGCATAGGCCGCGCTCTCAGCACTGCGTTGCGACCCCCTGATTTACCACTGAGTTCGTCGTGTATACGGAATCGATGAGAATTTTTTTTGTGAATTTTTAATCGCATAGTTTGATTGAATTAAATTTTCATATTTATGAAATACGACAAACATTGCGTTGAAATAAATGTCAAATCTTCCTATTTTGCCATTTAGGGAGAGCGTGCGACAGCTGCCGTTGGTCGGTCGCTGGCCTCGTGCGGACGCTGCCACCGTGCCCATTGTCCTTCGTCTGGGATTTCAAGTTCGCCGCCCCCTCCGCCCCCCCTTTCTGTCTCGGACCCCAGGCGATGCCCAACAAGACAGAGGGGGTTGGCTGGTTGGTTGGCTCCCTTCTCACTCGGGACACAAATCGGGACCGGAGTCAACGTCGCCCCGTGCTTAGCCCCTCCCTCTCCCCGCTCCTCGGCGCTCCGGGGCGGTGCCGCTTTCCCATTCGACCCTTTGTTGCAAGACTAAATGAACACCTGAGAAAGTGTGTCTTGTCGAGATTTCGGGAGTGTTTCGGCGAGCTGAGATATGCTAGTTTGACGTAGTGTACTGATATGGGTCGAGAGTATCGGATTTTAAATCAGTCCTTAACGTTTGGTGTTATTTAATTTTCCTTAAACAAATTGTTTCGACAACTGGTAAAACATTGCAGTATCCGGTTGTCCGTTCACACGGAGGGGTGGGTTGGGTGATTTGAAAGGGAGAGCAGGTTGTTGGCTCGGAGAGAGGTGGAGGGGGTGAAAAACCATCCACCAGAGGACACTTTACCCCCGCGGCGGGCCCAGAGAGAGAGAGAGAGAGAGAGAGAGAGAGAGAGAGAGAGAGAGAGAGAGAGAGAGAGAGAGGTGGCCGTCCCGTCGCTTTAATCATCCATCGATTGTTTCAATCAACTGGCCGCGAAATATTCCAATTCAATTACCGTTGAAATCCGGTTTGGGATGAAGGTGGAAGGTGGGGCGCGGCCATCCTCCCAGCCCCCTCGCGCGCCCGCCCGAAACCCAAACCGAAATTTACGTCCGTGACGCGTCGGTCCGTGCAAATGAGGGCGGGCTTCTCTACCGCGGTCTCTGCCGGCCCGTACCTGCTGCAGGACCCCGCCATATGTCAGGGCAGGCGCGAAAATCGAGACTGAACGGAACGTAAATCATAAAAGCCCGGTATTACTTGCCCTTGGTTGCTAGCTCGGAACTATGTCTATGATTTCAATCTCTCACTGGAGACTGACTTGCGTCTTTGAACGCCTAATTTATTGCCTCCTCTAAAGAATGGAAAGTATTGGCGTTTCTCTTCATAGAACGTCAAACATTTGCGTCTTTTAACCCCAACATCTGGCATCTTTTTGGCATTTGGCGTTGGCGTTCATCAGAGGACACCAATACTTTGGTTTTAAAAGACGCCAACCAGTTTACAGTGCGCTGTAGAGGAGGGAGCATTTCAGGATCTTTCCAGTTGCAGACCTCCTCCAACACCTCTCCTGGACGGCGCAGAAGTGCCTTTGAAGGCGGCCCGCGCGCCCCTCGGAGTCGTGCGCTGCGCTCGTGGTGGGCGGCGGGGCCCAAACATACTGTACAACCCTCCCTGCTGGGCCCCAACCCTCACCAGAGCGAATGGGTTCTGCCTGCTGGCTGACTCCGCGCCCGGCATTTAGGTGAAATGCAGCAGTAGGACCCTTCCCGTACCGTACGTCGTACACCCTGCAGCAAGTGCCCCCCCCCTCTCTCTCTCTCTCTCTCTCTCTTGCTCTCTTTCAATGCCCCGTAGAAGCACTTTCCCCACCTCCCCCTCCTCCCCGTCCTTTTCCTCCGCAAGAACGTAAATTTTGAAGATTTTTCTCAGGCTCTGCTGGTGTGGACTAAATCACACAGCCTCGCTATACTTCTGGCGCAGGGGAACGTGCGCTCAACTTGTGTATGTACGTGGGGGCGCTAACCTCCCCCTCAGCAGTTATCATGATAAACAGCTGATCAAAGCCTCGTCAGGCCCAGCCGGCCCCTTGCTTCCCTTATACACCCCCTTGCCTTTCCCCTGCTGGGCATTCCCCCCTTCCTGCAGTGGAATTGAATCGTCATTTTGAGGAGGCTGGCGCGAGACCCAGTCTGGACGTTGAAAAGGTCTGAATTTTTTTGATGACGTCATCAGTACTCTGCAGGCACAAAAATTGTTTTCTGGTTTTGTTCACTCTGAAAATGTGCGCTTAGCTGGCATCAGTCTAAGGAAAGTGAGAACCGCAAAGGTGCCGCTTTCCGCTAAAGTGGGGAGTGTTTCTGAGCAGTGTACATTCCCTACACCATACTGACGGAATGAAATGGCTGACGTCGCCCAGGGTTGACGAGGGTGCTGACTTCATTATCAAGCTGTGATATTTATGAGATATATGGTTGTCGGCACAATGGTGTCCAACAGCTATGCCGTCACCGGTGAGATGCAAAACCACGCACTGCGGACGCCGTCAGAAAATGAAGCTGCTTTGGGGGACTGCATCGTTGGCAAGGGTAAAACACTGAGAGCAAATCTTTGTAAAGCAATGATTAATGGTTCTTTGAATGAAAACCTCTGCATTATGTTTCGACCCGAAAAAAAATCCTCCGCGGGAGGTTGTATTTACGACTTGCTCCTTCTCCTGGCGAACGGCGACTCTCGCAAGTTGACTTTGACCCTCAGACTGTTCGGAGCCGTGGGCGGCTGCGAGTTGCTCTGCGCCGACTGCTCCTGTTGCGGAATCGTTAAAAAATTGGGCGTAGATTAAAATATTAAAATCATTATATGGTCTCTTTTAGACCGACTTTGCCAATCTCGCTGCATTTTTCAAAGAATAACGCAGGTCTTCATAGAATTTTACGTATTTAGGATAATTTTGGAGTACCTTGGAGGCCACCTCGCATAAGGCTTGGAGGGCGTTGACGATGGGGGTCTCGTCCGACACAGTCACCTCCGACATGACGGAGGTGGTGGCTCGGTCCTCACCGTCCAGGACCTCGGGAACAGACGGTATAGTGTGCTGCGGCCTGGAGTCTGGGGGCGGGATTTGGGTTGGTATCGACTCTGCTCACCTCCAGACGGTAGAGGAACGACCGGGCGCTCGGTCTTGCCCCCAGCAGCTGCACGCAGCCCAGCAGGCTCGCCTCCCCAGGCCGCCTATATGGTGCGGTGCACAGACAACTCGTGCAGCAGTAACACAGTTGTTAATGCCGTCTGGCGGTCACACTAAATCCTCATGCACTTTGTTGTGCTTAAAATTTGAAGAATTTCATACAGCCATAATGTTATACACAATTTTATGCACAACTATGTACAGTGTTTGCATAATTATGCACATCTTGTGCACAATTGTGCATAAAATATTTGTGCATACTTACGGCTGTATTAAATGTGCAAGTTTATGCACAACAAAATGCATAATGGTTTTGTGTGGTTACACCAGCAAAGACTGTCTGTACCTGCGGAGGTGCAGAGCGAACAGGCGGCCGCGAGTCCTCAACAGGCGAGTGATGGCCACGCCACGGGCCAGTCCCTGCAAAAGGAAAGGTTCAAACAACAGTTTGATTTTTTTACCATGGTCGTAGGGAATTTCGATGGCGGCTTTCTAGACTGAATGTTTACGCTGCCAGGAAAAATACATAACCCTGGATACACTGAAATGCTTCCCAAACTTCCGCATTTAAGTATCCACACAAAAAATCAGGAAACTATGTCAACAACACCGAAAAGCTAAATTTACTTGACTCACTTTGGTGGGTGAGCGCACCGGGACGTCCAGGGTGTGGCGGCCACCGATGAGAGCCCCGCCGTGCGCCAGGGACCAGTGCGACCAGAGCGCCGGGCCCCGCCACGCGCAGCGCGGGTACGTGCACCTGCGGGTACATACAGGCTGGGTGATCCGCGCCGTGTTATACTGTACCGGAATCATGCACTGATCAGTGATCGCTAATTTTGCTATTGGTTTCGTTATAGAGCCAATCATTCTTTTCCGCATAGATGATGACTGCAGCAGAATCAACATTTCGCGGTTGCCATGCTCACGCCCGCTCGGTGGTGGCGTCCCTGGCGGGGCTGCCGGCCGCCTCGGGGGTGCTGCTGCGGGGGGAGGGGGACCGATGGGCGGGGGAGGAGGAGGTGGAGGGTCGCGGCGAGGAGGTGGAGGGTCGCGGCGAGGAGGTGGCGGGGCGGCTGGCGGCGGGGGACGAGGCGCCACTGCCTGCGCCACTGCCGGCGCCGCGGCTGGACGACCTGCGCAAAAAAAAAAATCTGGGTCAGTAGTGTTTGTGTTATTGCGAAAGAGCTGTCGGTTCGCACAAAATACAAGCCGTTTTTCACGCTTTTTATCTTTTCTCGCGTGCACTTTGACCGAGAAACACCTGAGACAAAAGAGGAATTAGTTTGCTCTACCTGTTGGTCTCACCTGCTCGCTCTGCTGCTGCTGCTGCCGCTTCGGCTGCTGGGGCGGCTCCCGGAACGGCTCCTGGAACGGGACTTGGGCCGGGACCTCCTCCTCCTGCTCCTGCTCCTCCCCCTCCTGGAACCGCCTGTCCAGTGTTATGGAGCACTACGCTTTATATGGAGGGGTCTCTAGTCCAGCGCACCTAAACGTCCACAAGGTTTACACGCCACACCTTTTGCTGATTGTACACCGGTGTTCACGTTTGAAAAAACAAAAGCTCTTATTTACAAATTTATTTTACAAAGCACATGATTATTTCGCCTCTGCTTTGGAAACAATTATATCGACTATGATGCGGATGCGACGGTCACGTAAAGAAGAGAGAAATGTTTCTCCCTGATGGAGCCGAAGGAGGCGAGGGACAGACAATCTGATAAGCGCGTTGGGAGAGGGGTGACACTCCCTCCCGGACGTGGGGAAGGGCAGCGGCCGGGCCGACCGGGCCTCGGGCCGGGCCGAGGAGGAGATCCTGTTGTGAGGCACTCCCAGCCGACCCGACACCACCACCACCAACTCGGCGGAGGAAATCCTCTATACGTGTGCCCCGCACATCCTGCCCCGCCCCCCGCCTCCCCCACCACATCCTCTTATACTGCTCGTTCAGATAAGAACCGTGTCCGGTCAGCCCTACGCCCGCCTCTTTACATGCATCGAGAGATCGTAAAGAGAGAGAGAAAAAAAATACATATACTCCTTGGCCCGAGGATATACGTTTTCTTTGCTCAGCTGACCAATCACAAATATTGGATAAATTCATATCATTTTAACGGGGGATCGCGGGGTGCGGGTGTTGTCGTGGTCGTTGTGCTGCTATCGCCGTGTACTTACTGTCCTTTGGTCTGGGCATGACCCCTCCGCTACTCCTGGTGCCACTCTGCGCGGTCCCGCTCGCTCAGCCCTAGTCCACCCGTTGCCAGTGGTGTGTCTCCACGGCGGTGAACTCGGCGGGGGGCATTGTCGAGGTTTCAGCGTTTTGTGGATGGGGTGTCTGGTTGTTGCGTTGTCGACCCGAGTCCCCGAGTCTTGCAGTCTTTCGGTCAGCGCCAAGGGTGCATTTGAATAAATGATGATTTCGGGAGAATAGTACGGCGTCCGTCCGCGCACTCAGAAAATCGTTACTTTGACCCAAGGACCCATATTTACGGAATTGAAAATTTGACCGCAATTTCAAGGATATGCTGCTAATGATTATTTTCTATCCTCGGAATCTCCTTCGAATCAAGGTAACATTTTCCCTCTTTTTTTACTCTATAGGTCAGAAACTCCAATTTCAAGAAAACGACTTGGTGGGTGCAGTTGCAGTTGTGTCATGAACCGACTGACGACTGACATACCAGCGCGACCAGCACCCTGCCCTCTGCCACTTTGCTGTCGCAGTCCCGTCGCGGCCGGTCGCGCCCTCCACTACGCCGGGGCGCGATGGAGCGCTGGAATGCGATACCGATTGTTGCGGCTTTGTGTCTGTCTGAGGGGGGGGGGGTGGAACCAGACGGTCAGCACTCCGGCGGGGGCGGCCGGCGCCAAGGGGGGGCCGGGCGGTCAGTCGTGCGGGACTCCAATCAGCAGCCAATGTCCCGTGACGTGTTCAGGACGGGCGGTGCGGGGCGTGGAGTTACGGAGGGCGCGCCCCCGCCCGCACCCCGCCCCGCCACTCGGCGCCACGCCCCACCACGCCCCGCCACGCACACCCAGCGGTGGTCATCGGAATTGTGTCGGAGCGGAGAGGATGTATCTGTTTCTTTTTCTGCTTGCCCGGGCACAATCCTAGCGGTGCCCTCCACCTCCCTACCCCTCCCCCAAAACCGCCTCGGCCAGGCCCCTGCACTGCGGAGGGAGCGAGATGGCGAGTACGGGCAGTCTTTCTCACGGGGTGTACACTGCCAGAGAAAAGCAATAATACAGCAAATTGAAATGCGTCTTGGACCACATGCGCCTCTTCGGTCGTCTTCCACTCGACGTGTGCCGATACGGGGGCGGGGCGGGACCACCAAGCATTCATACTGCGGTGCCTTCTATTCATGAATGTCCACCCCCCCCCTCCTCTCTCTCTTTCTCTCTCTTTCTCTCTCCTCTCCCCCTCCCCCCTTCCTTCGTTTCTCCTCCCATTGCCCTGCTTTGCCTGGACTGGGGATAAATAATTCTCCCAGGTATATGAATGCCCTTCCCCCACATAACGTCCCTTTCCCTCCCTCCCTCCCTCGCTCCCTTCCCTCCCTTCCTCCCT